TTTAGTAAAATAAAGAAGAGAAAATTGTAACGCTATTATACAATAATAGCCTTTAACGTTTTTCTCTGCTTTACTTTACGTCCACGACTACGACAGACGGCTCGTTCTCTGTTATCAGCCTTTGGCTGCTTAAAGCGGTGTCTACAATGAGAATTTAAGCCTTAATGGCTCTCGCACACTGGACGCGATGAGTGATGAGCGATGGGCGATATCCAATGAGAGCTTTATTTTTTCGGAAAAGCAGAGCTCTTATTGGATATTGCCCATCACTCATCGCTCATCGCGTCTAGTGTGCGAGGGTCATAAGCCGTAAAAAATTAACCTATCATATTCGATTATTCTTCTCACATTCAACTGTGATTTATTACACCTATTGTAGACACCGCTTAAGGCCATTGCACGTGAAAAAATTTTGCGTATCGCAGTACGCGCATATCAGGCGTATCGAACTCCGACCAATGACAGACGATCCACCGTTTTTGATACGCCAACGATCCGCTAAATTCATTATTTGAACAGATCGCACAAAAAATACTGTAACTTCGTTTAAATTTCTTTACTAAACAAAAAATAGCCAATAGCACAGTTTCGGAATCCATTCTTTTCTGTTAGAAAAAGAACAAGAAACTATTGAAACAAACTTATAACGTGCAATAGGAATGGAATTAAACATTCAAGAGATAATATACACACTAATCTAATTTAATATACCAAATTTTATTTACTTTTATTTACTATAAACTATTTTTCATAATTTTCTTTATTAAAATTTTCCAAAGTAACACCAACAGTTTTGAAACTTTCACTTTTTACTTTATTAATATTTGCAAATAACTGGCTTCTGAAAACTTTACCTTTTAGATGCGTGCTTGTGTGCCTGTGTTCAGTATGCCGGAGTTTGGTTCCTACTGTCCCATGAAGCGGATTACGCGGAAGCGGATCCAGCGGATCGCCAATCACGGGGTTGTTCTGATAGAGCTCTTTCAAAGATGATGTCGAAGCAGTCCTGTGATTAGCGATCCGCTGGATCCGCTTCCGCGTAATCCGCTTCATGGGACAGTAGGAATCAAACTCCGGCGTACTGGGAGTCGATTGTGTATCTTTGAAACGAAGTGAAAATTACAAAAGTGGAACAGATTTACTAGATTTCGACAAATGAAACTCTAGATACTCTAGTGAATTTCCTCACTTTTGTAATTTTCACATCGTTTTAAGATACACAATCAACCCTCTGAAAACAGCGGAACATCTGTGATTGGTCGCAGAGTTCGATACGCCTAATACGCGCCTATCGCAATACGCGCACACTGCACGCGATGGACGATGCGCAATGAGCGATGCGCGACGAGCTTGTGAAAATTTATTTTGCTTCGTTCATACTGAACGCGATTTGAGGCGATTGAACGCGACGAGCGACGAGCGACGCAACGATCGGAAAATCGAATTAAATTGGTATTGTGTTTATTAGTAAAGAGAGTGTGTATTTATTAATAAAAAGAGAACAGAAGTGTTACATTGATAGAGAATAAAGAATATACACAAAATATAATGGTGTACCGGTAAGTACTTTAAATTTACAAAATGAAGTAATTAACTTAAAACAATAACATAATTTATAAATGTCACATTTGTAATTGTATGAATATAGCACTCTATGAAATTAGCTACCGGCAAATATTTTAATAGACAAAGACGTTTTTTAATGATAGAATTATCTATCATTTATTTGTAAATACAAATATACATTTGTAAATCAATACGTTTGTAAACTAATATTAAATTATTTTATTTTTTATATTAAACAACATATTTTTTATATTAAGCAACATTTTTTATATTAAAACAATATTTTAAAAAAATTAATAAAAATAACTTTTGAAAAACTCCACAAAACTCATCTCTCTTTTTCTACTCCAGTGGGCAATAAAGAAACTTAAATTGTATCTCGAATTATTTTTATTTTACAGTTTTAAGTTATTATATTTGTTGTTTATAAATATACATATAAATGTCAGTCATATAATATATAATAATAATATTAAATACAAAAAAGAATATCTATAATAATAAAAAGTTATATATATATATAATTGTAATAATAAAAATAATACTAATTTAAGGAACAAAAACTTATTTTTATATTCTCTTGTTCGAGAGCGAGGCGAAATTAGAAAAGTGTGTGCGAGGATCTTTTGGTTCGCGGAAAATATATCTCGCGAGTACAATTAACGTTTTTAATTATAACAAAATAATTAACACAATTACAAATTATACAAAAAGTTCCTGATAAAAGCTCGGTCGGTTATAGGCGGTTTCACAAAAAAGAATAGCGGTTGTCGTAAGCGGTTTCACAAGAAAAGAATAGCGGTTGTCGTAAGCGGTTTCACAAGAAAAGAATAGCGGTTGTCGTAAGCGGTTTCACAAGAAAAGAATAGCGGTTGTCGTAAGCGGTTTCACAAGAAAAGAATAGCGGTTGTCGTAAGCGGTTTCACAAGAAAAGAATAGCGGTTGTCGTAAGCGGTTAACAAAGCGTGTATACAGTAGCGCAACTCTCCCAATTTTGTGTTGGCCAAAACGGAGTGCGCATGCGCGAAATAAGTAAGTTGGCTAGTAACGCCATCTAAATTTCTCTGTCACTTACTCTTTTTTTTTCTACTCTTTCGTTCTCTCTCACACTATTTAAATACCCAATTAAATACCTACTGCTTACCTTATTTGACGGAATAGATGACATTACATGTTATTTATTGTATGATCGCGCAATTTATCAGAGTTTTTGATACAAAGCGATTACGAAGCGATTACAGATATTTAATATAATTATATTTATATATATATATATTTTTTTTAAAAAACATTATTTTGGATTATTATTTATTGCTACATATATATCAATGAGTTAGGCCGGTATTCATAGTCCGTTCTTATATCCAAGATCGTCTTAAGTGTGGTCTTGGGTCGTCTTAAGATCCCATTCAACCAATGAAATGGCCGCATAGTATCTTAAGATCGTACTTAAGACGATCTTGAATATAAGAACGGACTATGAATACCGGCCTTAGAGAGAGAAAGAAAAACGAGAGTAAGCGAGAGAGAAGTTCAGATGGCGTTACCGACCAACTTACTTATTTCGCGCATGCGCACTCCGTTTTGGCCAATACTAACATCAAAGGTGCCGACAGGGAGTTGCGCTACTGTATATACTGTGATATCACTTTGTACAATATTATACATTTTTCTCTGTGTAGTCTATGGGCGTTTTCCAGCAAGGTACACAGACGGCACAGTGTATTACACATTATCACATGATTGGCTGTCAAATGAAGAAATTTAAAATATATCCAATCGCGTGATAATGTGTAGTACACTGTGTCGTCTGTGTACCTTGCTGGAAAACGCCCTATGGTTGTCGCCAGGTTTCACGAGTGACGAAAGTAGAAACTTGACCAACCTTTTGAGCGACGTCGCGCCGAGCCTCGCGACTGGGGCCATATTCTTGAAAAATATCGCATACGATATTTGTCATTGCGCAACTAAAACGTATCGGAAAATAATAAATATCGCAATGATAAATATCGTATGCGATATTTTTCAAGAATATGGCCCCAGATGTGACGTTCGGAAAAGCAGAGTTCTCATTGGATATCGCCCTTCACTCATCGCTCATTACGCCCAGTGTGCGAGGGCCATGAGTCTTCTGTTTGTAATTATGTTTCTTCTTCTTCTTCTTTCTTTTATGGCTGGTTGGGCATTAGTCGCCCATACACCATTGTTTCTTATGGGTTTGTAGAATATAAGCAAAACTCCTCTAATAGAGGAGGGAGTCCAAAAAAAGGTCCAGACAAAGGACATACGCAGCACGCAAAAACACGTCCGAACCCGACACGTTGTCAGTCGGAACTATTGTAATTATGTTTAAAGCATAAAACATAAAAAACGAAATATAAAGAAAGTCTTCGACAAACCATATTCCATAGATTATTCATTGCTGATATAGATGACATATTACACATAGTTTACATTGTTTACGTGTATATTATAGATGTAGACTATTATAGTTTATGGATAAATGACAAACTCTGAAAAAAACTCGCCACGCGCTACTGTAGGTAAATAAATCTTTGCATTGTCGATATAATAAAACAGTAATTTCAATAAAATGTTTATTTTGTTGTTCTTGAGGCAATTACATAAAAGATCTATACATTTTCGATAATAAAACAATAATTGGATAAACTAAAATAACGCGCAGCGAGTATTTTTCCTGTCACACTAAATCCCATAAGATCACTATAGTCTTTAATGATATCTCGTCGGTGATACTGATGATTAAAAATTAATACACTGAGATCTCTCTTCTGAAACAAAACATGAATAAAGTAATATGCGTGTGCGCAAATATAATTTTTTTCTAACTGATTAGTTTTATTTTTGTACATATGCGCCACTTAAATATTCTATATTTTCAAATAAAAGGAATTAGATTTAAATTAATATTTGTTACATACAAGAGCGCGCGACATTTTAAATTGTTTCGTCATTTAACCAATCCGATCTACGAAACTGCATTCAACAGCATGCTTTCTATCTTTCTTCGAGTCACATTCTTTACGATCTCCCTTTATAACAAGTAGTTTTATTGGTTCGAGATACCAGTCTTCGGGTGCGTTCGTCTTGCATAGCGTCATCGTAGCGCCTCGCGTTACGTGTTTATAACAAAAAAATTCATATACTTTATTATTCGGTGCGATCCTTGGACAATGATATTATGTTACTCTAATTGCCGTTATAGTAAAACCTAGAAAAAAAAATAGAAATATTTTTGCAAGAATCACATCGGCCATTGCAATGTTGATTCTGGTGTACGATCCTGGTATGACCGCGGCGTAGATTGCCGATTCCAACGGGTCCGACCACCATATTGGTCTCGCTCCGCGTTCAGCCAATGATACGTTGCGTTACATGCGGCGCACCTGAGGCAGGTAAGGATGCGTAGATCGACGGCGATCGGTCGGATTAGTCGCCGGAGTATTTGCGGTCAAGCATGTTCGGGACGTAATTTTGCCGCGTGTCTCTCTGTCGTCTCGAATCCGAAAGCTTCCCCCTCTTCCCCCTACCTACCCCTCTCCGAACCATCTGTCACCGTCTCTGGATGCGTGTATACATTGGGCGTGTTGTGAAAAATTTGTAAATAGGTAAGTAAGCTCCTTCCTTCTCGCGCGAATATTGCGTGCACGAGATGATCTCGTGTGTCTTTTCATTAAGGATAAGTACAATACGGTTAGAATCTCGCATCGAGGTATTCATGCATTACTCCGAGAATTACCGAACGCGAGATTAATGCTGCACCAATCGTTGCAACGAGCCGGGACGAATCATCCGGTCACGCGCACCTGTTGCCATCTTCCGCACCGTGCATGGCCGCGATGCGTGCTCGTATATGATGATGACGAGCAGACCTCAGCAAGCGCATGGCAAATAAAAATTGCTTGACAAAAAGCGCAGGCCATAACGTTTTAAGGAGAAACTAGATGGATCAAGTATGTCGAAAGTTATTAAACTTAATACATTTCGAGATTCATTATGAATTTAACATTGTACACACACACACACACACACGCGCGCGCGCGCGCGCACACGTACACGCACACGCACGCACGCACAAAAAGCATTTTTAGCTTTTTAAAATATAAAATTGAAAATTAATTTGTGAGTTAAAGTAAAGATTTGCCCTGAAGAGAATATAATTTAATCTCAAAATAGTATATATTATCTTATATCGAATTAACTTTTTTACAATGACTGTACCACAAAAATTTTCTAGTGACTAGTACACAAAAATTCATGAAAATAAGTATTTTAATTCTACAGGCCAAATCTTTATTTTACTTCATAAGTTAATTAATTATTTTATATTTTAAAAGGCTAAAAGTATGCCAATATGAGATTTAGTACGAATATCTTCTTTTCATCCGATGAGAACTGGTGTGTATTACAATGTGATATGATTGTTGGCAATACGAATATCTATCGCAACCGGAGGGGTCTATAAACGCAGAGTGAAGGAACATAAGAGTTAACATTTTGTTCGCTGTATAGCGTCGCGTTTTAACTTCGGATTATGATATCGACGAGAAGCTTGCGAATATGAAAAAAAACATGCAGAATTAAAGTTAAGAAGAACAAAATTTTGTTCGCGCTTTAATTTCGATTGACGTGAAAGTTTTAAGATTAAGTTTTAATCAAAGTTATAATTAAAAATCGGTTAAACAATATTAAAGAAATAAATTAACATGAATAATAAAATTAACAGATTATATCCATCGACATTTTAATTCTGAATCATAAATGAATGTGTTTAATTTGTTTATATATAACATAGTAGAAAAAATGTGTAATCTGTACATATATTTTTATTTTCATAAAATTTCGGGAAATAATTTGATATTTCGTATAAAAAAAGAGAGTATTTCTACGTATTAAAAATCATCTGCCCGTTTTTCTGACAGATTTACGAATAATTCTATCGGAATGTCGTATGTATGTATGTATGTGTGCGTGCGTGCGTGCCTGCGTATGCGTGTGCGTGTACGTGTGCGTATGTGTGTGCGTGTGCGTGTCTTGTGCTGCTGCCTACTATGCGTGTGACTATGCGCTTTCAATGACATTAAAATGGGCTTTATGTTGTTTTCTAGCGCAATTAACTAATTAAGTAATAATTAAAGATTGAAGTGCTTTTGAGATTAAGAAGGTAAGCTTCTTAATTGGATAGTATAACGTTTTAATTGTCGGATAGTTTATTGTATCTGGATCACGTATGATACGTTTAAATTTCTTTCGAGTCTTTTTCCATATCGATTTAATATTACAAAATGCAATTATAAAATCGAAATCTACAATATTAAAAAAACATTTATTCGTAAAAAATAACTAAAACCATTATATATTTCTTATTAGTTTTATTATTAAGAAAAAATCTTGAATATAAAATCGGCAACAAAAGTAGGAAGCAATGTTCAATTACAATTGAGAAAGTGACAAAACTTGAAAGAAGCTCCAGTTTGTATTAAATGCGAAATTTTTATGGGTGAATTTAATTTTTTTAGCGATGTTTATGGAAAAAATATTTTTTAATTGTAATATCGAGGATTAGCCATAAAGATTATTCCGTACGAATGTACTATATCTATAACGAGCGCGCGACATCGATCATTATAGCTATTGTAGTATTGATTCGCCAATTCTTATCGGACTATCATTATCGGGATCTGTGTGTGATGATCTGATGATTCACCGATTGCCGACCTTTGATCATCCTTTTTTATTCTACTTAATTGTATTACGTATAATTTCTAACGCTTATCGACGATAAGTATTTAGTCAAGGTAAATCACAATCTACATTTTACAATTTTATATATTTATTATTTATAAATAACAATTATATATAAAACAATAGTTAATTATATATTTGTGTGTATATACAAATATAGTTATCTATATATGTAGTTATGTATATGTAGTTATCTATATATGTAGTTAGTTCATCATATTTTATTATAATGTTATGATATGATTTCATATAATTATAACATGATAATGATTCTAATATGTACGATATTTGATATTCGATATTCGATATGTCGATATGTCGATATTCTTATATAATTTGATTGTGTGTGAAGTTTAAATTTATATACACATACATATATAATTATATATTATCTCAAACTTAAAAACAATACTTGGATCAAAATAAAAATTATATGAATATAATATGGATGTTCATCCCTTACGAAGGTGAATTACAGTAATAATATTCATCATAATTTGCGAACGTTTATCCTGTTCAATTTCTTCTTGTCACGGTATCTCTTTCGATTTTCTCAAATATATACATATATATAATATAAGAAACGATCATTTGTTAAAACTTAGGAGCGCAGCATCGTTATTTGTAAATAGGAATCGGTAACCCCGTGGAATCATGCGAAAGTCGCGAATGTCAGCATCTTTTCATTGAACGAGTAAGTAAAAGTTCATGATGGACATCGCCAGACGAGAAGAGCTGTAAACATTCCTCAGTCTTCCATTAAACTTTAATCCCGTGTCGCTGCTCGCCCGTGACATTTGCGATCTGCATTCTCATGTCGTGTCACAACACAACTACATTGTTCGCCATTTAATCAGTAATGACCGCGATGTACATACATAATCGGCGACGAATGACTTTGTCATATTATTATATTGCATGGAACATGTTTTCACGCATGTTTACATTCAGTCGGACATACGTAATCGATGTCGAGATTGACGTTTTCGTTGCCGAGATCAGGCAAAAATTTTGTTCCAAACGGCCGACGACGATATATATAATTTATTTTGTATCATGACAGGGAAAAGATATCTGGTACATATGTAATCCGCTTGAGCTCATTAGAGCGATGGTCTCGTCGTATCATCTCTCGTATCCCATCGTCGAACGACACCTGTAATTCACGCCTATGAAATGCCTACGTAATCTCCCACGTGAAACTAGTGACACAGATCGCGAATGCTTATTACTGTGCATATGACTTCCCCTCATTTCGATATTCGTGATAGATTAACGTATAAATCAAGATGTTTATTTTTATAAAATATACTAAATCTATATTTCTAATGAGACACACACACGCGCGCGCGCGCGCGCACACGTACACGCACACGCACGCACGCACAAAAAGCATTTTTAGCTTTTTAAAATATAAAATTGAAAATTAATTTGTGAGTTAAAGTAAAGATTTGCCCTGAAGAGAATATAATTTAATCTCAAAATAGTATATATTATCTTATATCGAATTAACTTTTTTACAATGACTGTACCACAAAAATTTTCTAGTGACTAGTACACAAAAATTCATGAAAATAAGTATTTTAATTCTACAGGCCAAATCTTTATTTTACTTCATAAGTTAATTAATTATTTTATATTTTAAAAGGCTAAAAGTATGCCAATATGAGATTTAGTACGAATATCTTCTTTTCATCCGATGAGAACTGGTGTGTATTACAATGTGATATGATTGTTGGCAATACGAATATCTATCGCAACCGGAGGGGTCTATAAACGCAGAGTGAAGGAACATAAGAGTTAACATTTTGTTCGCTGTATAGCGTCGCGTTTTAACTTCGGATTATGATATCGACGAGAAGCTTGCGAATATGAAAAAAAACATGCAGAATTAAAGTTAAGAAGAACAAAATTTTGTTCGCGCTTTAATTTCGATTGACGTGAAAGTTTTAAGATTAAGTTTTAATCAAAGTTATAATTAAAAATCGGTTAAACAATATTAAAGAAATAAATTAACATGAATAATAAAATTAACAGATTATATCCATCGACATTTTAATTCTGAATCATAAATGAATGTGTTTAATTTGTTTATATATAACATAGTAGAAAAAATGTGTAATCTGTACATATATTTTTATTTTCATAAAATTTCGGGAAATAATTTGATATTTCGTATAAAAAAAGAGAGTATTTCTACGTATTAAAAATCATCTGCCCGTTTTTCTGACAGATTTACGAATAATTCTATCGGAATGTCGTATGTATGTATGTGTGCGTGCGTGCGTGCCTGCGTATGCGTGTGCGTGTACGTGTGCGTATGTGTGTGCGTGTGCGTGTCTTGTGCTGCTGCCTACTATGCGTGTGACTATGCGCTTTCAATGACATTAAAATGGGCTTTATGTTGTTTTCTAGCGCAATTAACTAATTAAGTAATAATTAAAGATTGAAGTGCTTTTGAGATTAAGAAGGTAAGCTTCTTAATTGGATAGTATAACGTTTTAATTGTCGGATAGTTTATTGTATCTGGATCACGTATGATACGTTTAAATTTCTTTCGAGTCTTTTTCCATATCGATTTAATATTACAAAATGCAATTATAAAATCGAAATCTACAATATTAAAAAAACATTTATTCGTAAAAAATAACTAAAACCATTATATATTTCTTATTAGTTTTATTATTAAGAAAAAATCTTGAATATAAAATCGGCAACAAAAGTAGGAAGCAATGTTCAATTACAATTGAGAAAGTGACAAAACTTGAAAGAAGCTCCAGTTTGTATTAAATGCGAAATTTTTATGGGTGAATTTAATTTTTTTAGCGATGTTTATGGAAAAAATATTTTTTAATTGTAATAT